ATATTTTTAAAAAACATATAGATACATATTTTGTTTTCTATTTTCTATAACCCAAAGTATGTATCCTAAGTTCAAAACAATTTTGAAACCATGTGTCTAGCCCAACTCTTTCATTCTAGAGATAAGGACACCCAAATCCAGACAGGAAGAATGGCTCAGTCGGGGTCATATAGCGAGTCAATGGCAGAACCCGAAGAGAGGTTACCAGTCAGGCTCCGCAGGGCGAGCCCAGACTTCCATGCAGGGTGGCACTGCCTCCCTCCCACCTGTGCTCATGGGGGCTCTGGGCAACAACTGCAACACAGCAGCTCAGCAACATCTGAGGGTGTCGGGCTAAGCAGGGGCGAGGGAAACTGGCAGAAAAGACTAGCACACCGCTCCTTTCCCAAGTCTTTTGCCAAGTCACTTGGCCATTGCTTGTTTCATTTCTAACTCTTCCAGAAAGATGAACTTGAACAGCTCAGGGTGGGGGCTAGTTCTCCCATAGACAAGCTGCGTGTTTGGTACCTGGAGTAAGTGTTTACTGTCCTCATGCTTCTTTCTCACTTCTTCAGACTGTGTTTGGTGGTTTTCAAATAATCTCCGGGCCACGTTTCTCAGAGCTGCTGCTCCTGCTTCTCTGGAGGCTTCCAGCTAGAAAAAAGGTCACTATGCATGTTCTGACATTTACAACAAAAAACTTTAAAGGCAGAACAGTTTGATGGGCAATTAAGAACACCAAAGGTAAAACTATACCTTTTACAGCCTCATAGACAATGGATAGGAGAGAAGACACTGTTATTTGGTAAGAGGAAAATGTAAAAGGAGAAACTCCCCATTTAGAGGGGCTGTTGAAAAGGCAGATTTGCCATAGTCAAACCAAACCAGAGCTCTGTGCACAGTAATGCCCTGTAGTGATAGTCCTCACTGTTCAGATAACTCCATGCTGCTCTGTCAGCTTATACACTTATTTGCAAGCCTTTTATCATTAATGTCCATAACAGTGTTAAAAAGTGTATCTTCCTGAAATAGAAGGGGGACAAGGTTGAAGTATTGAGGACAATAATGCTAAAATGTCATGAATCTTTCCGGGATTTAACCTGAGGAAACAATCAAGAATGACTATAAAGATTTCCCTATCAAGATATTCATTGCAGGACTGCATATAAAATAAACCTTAAAGAAGAAAATCAAAAGCATTCAGCCGTAGACAAATTTAAAAAATATTGTGGCATTTGACTATGAAGGTTATAATTAATATTTATTAAATATGAACATACTTTTAAAAATGTATTGTGGATTGTGGTAAGAACACTTAACATGAGATCTACTAAGTGTGTACAGTACCGTATTGTGAACTATAGGCATAATGTTATGCAGTAGATGTCTAGTCATCTTGCATGACTGAAACTGTATAACTGTTGAACTTTTGTGAGATATTTTCAATGACAAAAGAAGCCTCAAAAATAAAACAGTGAGATATGATTTGTGAAATATAAAAATGCTTCTCTATGTAAGGGAACACACAGATGGACCTATGGATGTGTGTACACATCTCTCTGCTTTTACAGAGCCACCAATGCTAACAACCCATCCTATTAGCTCAAAGGCTCAAAACACAGAATTTGAAACTTCTAACAGTCATACCTTGATTTTCAATACTTCATTCTCTTTGTGCATTTCTAAGAGCTGTAGGTCTTTTCCTTTTATCTTTTTCATGAGCAAATCCAAACTGCAACAAGAAGGATCCATCTCAGAATCAGAGCCCTGTTGAAGGTTTCCACAGTGCTGAAACAGACAAATGAAAATCATAGACCTAACTGTCTTTTCCTCTACAAGCTTTGACAACAGTAATGATCATTTAGTATTACGTATAGCAAAGAGGCTTCAGGTCAGCATAAATAAACATCTTTTGAATCTCAAATATCAATGAGAAATTCTGGAGGCACCTGACTTCTATATTTGCTCAAATTTGAACAGATTCTTATATTGAAAGAGGTAGAATGACATTTTAACTTTTATATTTTCTATAGTTTCAAATATACTGACAAGTGCTTTTTAGGAGATAAATAATGTCCACAAGGCCAGACATTTTTAAAAAATCTAAGTTGTCGACATAATTACATTTTTGTTACATTGCATCATAGACTAACAGTCAGACCTAACAGTTACAATACATAATGGTCAATGTTTGGTGATGCTTCACTGTAATTACCTCATATTAAATTTCCAATCAGAGATATCAGAACTGAATGGCACTGCCATTATAACTTGATGTAAGGTCTAGCTTACTGAAAATACACTTGGAACATAAATATCATCTGGAATTGTGGCCCCACAGAGGTGAAAAAGAAATAATAAACCATCTAACTTAACCTGTCCATTTTACAGATGTAAAAACTGAGGACCAGGGCCCAAGTTTCTGCAGCAAAGGAGTGGGAGAGCTCCTGGCACAGCCTCTTGAATAGTTATTGTGTGCTCTTTCTCTTCTTTCAATTTATTTCAAAACGGAGAAACTATTCACAATTACACATACCCTACAATTATAATAACAACTTCTATTTGTTAAACACCTGTTATGTGCCTGCTCATCTTTTACATGTTTTACATACAGTCCTTTGTCTGAATACTGAAAACACTGGAAGGCACTAGGCCCTTTACACAGGTGAGGAATTTGAAGATGAAAGTTTAACGAACACACCTAGGGTTATACCTAAAATAACTGCCAGACCAGAATTAGAATCCCAGTTTGTTTAACAACAATATATATAATATTTTCACTATAATATAATAACTACGACTGTAGAAATAAACAACAAAAAGAACATAGTGTATGTGGATAACATCCTCCCTCACCATAACTCTGCCACAATTTGGTTTCTTATAGTCCAGACCCTAGTGCATATTTCTACTCTCCATATACAAAGTAGGAATTATTTTCTTTTTTAATTTGTTAAAGAATATTTGACAGAAGAAACTCTTGTAGAAGGTAGATTATCAGCAGTGGCAGATGGCTACAAAGATCATTGATCAGTGCTTTTCAAACTTCAATATGCCTATGAATTACTGGGTGATAGATCTGGTTAAAAGATGCAGATTCTGAATCAGGTCTGGGGTAGAGCCTAGATGCTCCGTTTCTAACATGCTCCCGGTGATGCTGCGCTGCTAGGACTGCAGACCACACTTGAGAGTAGCAAGGCCCCAGATTACTATGGTGAAATCTCTACAGGGCCAGAGGGCTGATGTTTTGATGCATGGTGGATCTGCTGACCTTCTGTGGACTGAGGTGGCTGAGGCAGACACACAGCAACACAATGTCATCAACATTACTAGGAAGCTCCTCCTATCTATGGTGGGCATTTGGTCCTCAATTTCCTTGGCCTATGGACAGCATTTGACAGAGGTGTCCCGCCCTGCTTCTGAAACCCTCTCCTCATTTGCCTTCAGTGACTCCTGCTACAGTGGCCTTGACAGGAGTAGCTTCAAACCACAAAAGGTGAGCAGATCAACCACACATCAAATCACCAGCCCTCTGGCCCTGTAGAGACTTCGCCATGATAATCTAGAGAGTACTCTCAAGTGTGGTCTACAGTCCCAGCAGCTCAGCATCAACAGGAGCTTGTTAGAAATGCAGCACCTAGGCTCTACCCTAGAACCTTGAAATCTCCTGTTCCTTCTAATCCACCAGCCTGATCTCAGTTTTCTGGGATGGTTCTTCTTCCTAACATCTCAACATTGGGAATGGGCATCTCAAGACTCAGTCCTTAGATCTTCTCTCATTTCTCTCCACACTCACTCTCTTGGTAAACTTCTCCAGTTTCAGAACTTTAAATACAATCCTTAAATGCCCAAAATCTCTACCCTGTATCCTGGACCTTCTAGCTCAGTCTTCTACCTGCAGTTCCTGAATCAGATGTTCAGCTGCCTATTAGAAGCCTCTATTTGGAGGTCTAAGAGGCAGCTCAACATAGCCCAAACTGAATTTTTTAATCTTCCCTATCATTCCTAAACATAAGCTTATTTTCTAGTTTAGAAGTACTTTAAATAATAATGGAAGCTAGTTATGTTAGTGTGGGAGGCTGAGGGTGATGAAAATGACTACATTTATGCATCATACCCCACGTTATGGTGGACTCTGTGGCCGTGCTTATAGTGGACAACACTGATGAAGTACACTTGGCTCAGATGTGGTTTAGCTTGGTGTCATCCAGGCAAAGCTAAGTGCAGATTGCTCGACCTGAGGTATATAAAGCTGATGTTGGGGAAGGGAGTGCGTTCAAGCTTATCAACTATTTATCTGACAAAGTCTTCACTCAACTCAGGCCTAAAAGCTTCAACTGTGTATGTCTATTCGTGTGGCCCACGTGAGACTAAAAGCTCTGCCTATCATTGGGAAATGTTGCTGTCATGAATCTTGGCTAGACCAACATGTTCTCATTTACTTTCGATAAGTAAGCCTTGTTTAACATATTCAAGTAAGGCCTAGCCATTCCAATTTGATCTCATAACATTTGTGGTTAAACATTTCACACATATGGCCATTAACATCTTTAGATATGCATGAAATATTTCAACACTCATCCTTTGAAGCTTCAATGAACTTAGTAATTGCCCAAAAAGTTACTTTAAAAAGTCTAAATGGCTTTATGCTAATCTTCTGCAGGAAATTATTACCTTTGTATCTAGTTTGTTATTTGTACTGTCATGTCTTATTTCATCTTTAAACATTTGGGTTCTGATCTTTTCCAGAGTAGTTCGAATCTAGAAAAGGAAAAAAAAAATTAATTCGTTTCAAAGGCATTTAATGCCGAAAGTTGTTTTCTCAATACCAGTTACAGGGTATCTGATTACCTAGAAAGTAATACATATATATTGATATCAGATTTAAATAACTGCCACCATCAATCTAACTTGCATTTAGGCTAATATTGTTTGGATTGCTGAAAGTAAGCATTTGGTCTTTACAACTCTTTCTTTTTTTTTTTTTTTGAGACGGAGTCTCGCTCTGTCACCCAGGCTGGAGTGCTGTGGCCGGATCTCAGCTCACTGCAAGCTCCGCCTCCCGGGTTCACGCCATTCTCCTGCCTCAGCCTCCGGAGTAGCTGGGACTACAGGCGCCCGCCACCTCACCCGGCTAGTTTTTTGTATTTTTTAGTAGAGACAGGGTTTCACCGTGTTAGCCAGGATGGTCTCGATCTCCTGACCTTGTGATCCGCCCGTCTCGGCCTCCCAAAGTGCTGGGATTACAGGCTTGAGCCACCGCGCCCGGCCTACAACTCTTTCTCAGACAAATCTAAAACACATCACTTAAGTAAATATTATCCCCCAAACAGTTATTATTTAGTAATTAGTACTTAATATTATTTAGTTTTGTTTTGTCTTTTTAGTAATTTAGTACTAATTTACTGTTTAGTAATTACTATAAAACAATTACTACTTAGTAATCACTATAAAATAATTACTATCTACTAATTACTACAAAATAATTACTACCTAGTAATTACTACAAAATAATTACTATTAAGTAATTACTACAGAATAATTACTGAGAGATCACATGCATTTATGCATGAAATATAAGCCCCATGTCTTGATGACCTGTGGAGTTGCAAGACACTCAAAGATGATGGAATTAATTGATCTGAGCAAGTTATAAACTATGCCAGAATTTGTCCATTATTTAATTAAATAATCCAAAAAGGTAAAATGTGAAATTTCTCTTTTTATTCAGTATCCTCTTAGATTATAAGACTGTGAGAGTAGGAGCGAGGTTTATACTCTAGCACATTTTTAAATTTTTTATTATTATAATTTTTTTTTTTTGAGACTGAGTCTCACTCTGTCACCCAGGCTGAAGTGCAATGGCGCAATCTCCACTCACTGTAACCTCTGCCACCTGGGTTCAAGTGATTCTCCTGCATCAGCCCCCCAAGTAGTTGGGATTACAGGCGCCCACCACCACGCCTGGCTAATTTTTTTGTATTTTTAGTAGAGACAGGGTTTTGCCATGTTGGTCAGGCTGGTCTCAAACTCCTGACCTCAGGTGATCCACCTGCCTCAGCCTCCCAAAGTGCTGGGATTACAGGCATGAGCCACTGTACCTGGCCTACTCTGGCACATTTTAAGTGCTTAATACATGTCTGTTGTAAGAAACAGTTAAGAATATATATTTCTTGTCAGCCATTATCATTTTGGATTCTCATAAGACTTCACACGTTTAATGAAGTGACATGCCAACCCGCAGTCACTGGCAATAGTTACCCTGAACTGTGAAAAGGAACAAGGTAACGAGAGGCACCAACTCAGCAGGAAATGTAAACATTTACTTGGGAACACGATCAACACTCGTGAAACCACTGGAAAACATTATAAAACAGTAGGAAATACAGTGGTGAATAGTGAGGGACAAATTAAGTGCTGATAGGTGTTCTGAACCCTCCTGGCCCATTATTCAATTTTACTGAGTGAGGAAAATTATTTTACTCCAAGCGTAGGAACAGTTTCATATCCTCAAGAGAAATGACTAAACATGGGTTTAAATTTCAGCTAGGAAGAGTGTCCTTTGCCAAATTAGAGTTGTTCCTTTACATATGTTCTATGGAGAGGGAAACAAAGTCCTCCAGCCCATATTGGAATTTCTCTTTAAAAATCATATCATACTAATGATTTCTGCTACCCACACACCTTTTTCACATACTCGGTTTCTTCAATAATGTGAGCGGATGTAGACTCATACAAGGCAGAATTATCTTCCATCTTATCCCTTGGCGGAATTTCTGTGGTCACTGTCACCGTTGTCATTGTGAATTCTGGCTTTAAGAAAACATAAATCAGCTAAGCAAAACAGACTGTTTTGATTGTATGATTATATGGTTCATAAACTGAAATAAGTTGTTTTATCACTATGGTGAAATATAGCAGAAAAGCTATAAATCATTGGTATCTGTATATAGTCATAAATCCAGGAATTAATTTAATATAAAGCCATATCATCTGAAGGAATCTTTACTTAAAAATTTAACATTTAAACAATCTAAGAAGGTAAATCTGAAATTTCTCTTTTTATTCAGTATCATCTCAGACTGTAAAAATCTAAAATCTCAGACTGTAAAAAGCAATGAGGTTTATAGTCTAGCACATTGTAAGCACATAATAAATGTAGAATTAACATGATACAATTATAACAACATTACGTTTTTGTGTGTGTGTGTGTATCTTCATACATAGTCCGTGAAGGCAATTTACTATTAGGAGAACTAATAGTAAGAGTCTGGAAAAACCCCATGCCAACAAGAAGAGGATAGATTAAATAAACTATCAACTGCTAAACAGTCATCACTAGGATGTATTATTATCTCATGAGAAAGCATAGAGCAGAACAGAATATATAATATCATATTTTCTACAAGAAGGGTAGGAAATAGGAATGGAAGGAAGAAATCTGTGTCTTAAGGTTTTAATACTAAACCACGTATATATTTTATCTAACTATGAAATAAAATTGACAGAAAAAGTAATCGTCCAAAATAAAGGTGAAATGAAATAAATTAAACAAATAAATATGTCTGTATATCAAGTTCTATAACCACAAGAATTATTCAAGTGATTAAGAATGACATACCAGGAACTACCGATCCCTGCTGTGCTATATTCTAAGAACAAAAAGAACAGCAAAACAATCTTGAACAAATATTCACTCATAATATTATTAGTGGAAATATTGGTATTGCTATTTTGAACTGCGAACTGTGTTTGTGTGTGTTTATGTACACAGGTTCGCACTGTAGAATAAAGCCAACAGGTAATTGTGTTAACATCATGAAGAATCAAGCTATTTAGCATAAAAGAAAAAATAAAATATAGAACAAAAATGTTAGGTGAAGCTGGATATGGTGGCTCACATCTGTAATCCCAGCATTTTGGGAGGCCAAGGTGGACCGATCACTTGAGGTCAGGAGTCTGAGACTAGCCTGGCCAACATGGTGAAACCTCGTCTCTACTAAAAATACAAAAATTAGCTGGGCACGGTACACGTGTGTAATCCCAGCTACTTGGGAGGCTGAGGCACGAGAATCACTTGAACCCAGGAGGTAGAAATTAATGATTTCTTTTCCTTAAAATAATATATATTCTACCTTTATTCACCGATAAACCTAGAAATAGTAGTGGTTAGCATCCCTCATGGCCAGACTGTAGTCTTTGAATATCATATCCTACTAAAAAGAAACTAGGACTTCTTGACTGATCCAGGTCTGGGGTAAGATATATGTAAAGTGAGCCTATAATTATTATTTACTATAATAAATAGTAAATAACCAATAAGTAAACTATAATAAAAAGCCCTGTGAGGTAGGATTATTAATCCTATGTTACTGATAAGAAGCCAAGACTCCACTCCCATAGCCTGAGATATCTGGTCATATCAGCAAGCAAAAAAGTGATCAGATACTACTTGAATAAGACACAAAACCCATCCTGAAGAAGAATGTCTGTGATGGATTGAAACTTATCAAAAATGTTAAATCCCTGAATTTATGATGACTGAAGAAAAACCCACAACATCACAATGCTCACTGTCCACCTTTAGAAGCACATAAAGCAAAAGCTCAATGCACATAAACCAAAAGTATACTAAAACCTGGCAAAAAAAAAAGAAACAAGCATTTATTATATGAACTGTATTTCATAGTAACCAAGTAGTTGATGAGGGAGAGTTTATTTATTGAATTCCAGCTAATAAATTCAAAAGGATTGATAAAATTAGAAAACCTATATTTTGCAACCCGTTATGAAGTAAAAAAACCTAAGCATCATCACTTAAAGCTAAAAACATTAGTGAATATTTAATGAGGAAACTTTAACCTGAGAGACCCCATTAATCAATCTTAACATAAATTAAGGATCTTAAGAGATACAGGACCAAATGCAACATACTATGTAAAGACGTTTTTTAGATTAACTGGATAATATATGATGTTAAAGAACTGTTGTAATTTTGCTAGCTGTGATAATTATGACATTCTTTAAAAGGATTGGATCTTTTAGTGATACCTACTGACATATTTGCAGATGACACTGTGTTACATTTGGAACTGCTTTAAAACTCAAAGAGTGAGGTAAAAGGAGATGGGGATAAAGATTAAAGAAGTTTAGCAAAATATAGATAACTACTGAAACTGGGTGACAAGTCTGTAGGGTTCATTGTATTCCTCCAAGTATTTTGGTTTTGCTTGAAATGTCTATAATAAATAGTAAATAACTAACAAGTAAACTATAATAAAAAGCCCTGTGAGGTAGGATTATTAATCCTCTGTTACTGATAAGAGGCCAAGACTCCATTCCCATAGTGACATTAACTTACCCAAGATGAAGTAAAATTAAGAGCTAAAACTCCAACCTTGGTCCTTTAGAAGTTCAGAGATGTTTCCATCATATTAAGACTGGCTTCCCTGGAGAGAAACAATAACAACAACAAAATATTTAAAATCTAACAATGACCTAGGCTGGAAGAAAACAAAGAATTTGCATATGTGAGACCATCACTTTGAAACAAGATCACTTCTGGAGACACTACAAAGTCCTTTAATCTTCAATGAAATTGACAGAATATGCCAAGAATTTTCCATTTTATTATAAATCCTCTTAGCAGCTATGGCTTCTATTAAATATTTGTTTCAGCAGAAGTTGATTTGGCAGCAGCAACTCTGCAAGTGTGCTTTTGCAAACTATGAGTGGAAGTACGTCTCTTACTGGGTCCTCTGAAGTCTCTTCCGGGATTAAGATATTGGTGCAAAACAACATTTAAATGCTTGAAGTAAGAGAAACACCCATAGGGTCAATACGCAGTACGCTTGGGAGCCAGAGAGAGGATGGTCAGGCCAGGGTAGGGGTCAGCAAACCCCAGCCTGGGAGCTCAATCTGGTTTCCCTCCTGTTTGTACAGCCCTAGAGCTAAGAATGGTTCTTACATTTTTGAATGGTCAAACAAAAAATCAAAAGAAGAATAACATTTCATGGTACATGAAAATTATATGAATTTCAAATTTAGTATTCATAAAAATGGTTGAAAAAAATCAAAGGATAACATTTCATGACACATGAAAATTATATGAAGTTCAAACGTAGTGCCCATAAATGAAGTTTTACTCTAATGCAACATGGCCATTTCTGTACATATCTTTTATGTAGCTTTGGCACCACAAACAGCAGAGTTCAGTAGTTGTGACAGAGAAAGTATGTGGCAGGCAACGCCTACAGTATTTCCTATCTGGCCCTTTACAGGAAACGTTTGCTGAGCTCTGGGTTAGGGCTTGGCAAGGAGTGGGGCAGGACCAGTGGGAAAATAGAGGCAAGCAAAGCAATCGATCCGGCCTGAGTTGGTTTTTTCCTCCAGTACAGTACCCTTGATCTACAGTCCCCTTTGACTGATTTACTTTCATTTTCCTTTTCGTATGTTATGCAGTGTGTACATTAACAGATGATAAGAGGCATTTTATCACAGGAATGAATCACTCTTTAGAATGAATCTGTCTGCATTCTCAGGCTCTTTCATAATTTGAAAATTGCATCGGGCCTTACGTCTTTTATCCTAAAATATACTCTCGTATGTACCTTTTATTCTTAAAATCAAGGAATTTTGTTTCTTGATCACTGATGTTTCTGAAAACTTCCCACCTTTTCCACTCACTGGTTGGGCCATGTTAAACAAGTTACATAAAATCTTAGTTTTCACTTAAATAGCTGTCAGATAGGGGTGATAACACCTAGAGATATGAAAATGAGGTTTTTGTGTGGTTTTTTTTAATGCCTGCTAACAGAAGGCACTCAATGGACAGTCACTGGCAATATTGTTACCCTGTTATTTTATATTATCAATAGCCACAGAAGACAAGCAGGGCAGGTAGTTCACCTCTATCTGGTTGCAAAGCTTTATAACTGTATCCATATGAAATTAAATTCCATATCTGTCTTTGGTTCAGAAAACTTTTGTACCCAGAGTCCTTGGTTTGTAGAAAGAAACCCAAGGGGAACATAAGCCGGCAAAGTCCAAATTGCCATATGGCATTACTATCCTGGGGAAAATCCATGTTAGCATTTTATTTCAGCCAGAAGTAGATTAAGGGGATAAAAATTTCAAAATAAATCACAATCGGTTAATTAAAGTAAGGAAATACTCTTCTTTGTCTTATGCTAGAGTGGATTGAAGACAGCTTACAGGTGGCATCACGCCAAGAGGAGGTATTTCCTAGACAAGGGCCTTTCAAACAGGGCTCCCAAGGAGGAGGTGGAGGGCTGCTGAACAGACAGAGCTCTGCCACCTCAACTTCAACCACAGCAGCTCTGCTTTGTTCTGTCACACACACTGAATTTTCCCATGAGGCTTTCTGTGAAGAAAGAGGGTTCCACAGCCGAAACAGTTTAGAGGCGGCCTGCCTAGTCTCATGGCTCCATTCTGCCACTCCGTACCTGTGTGACCTCTGTCAAGTCCCTTAACTGCTCTGTGCCTCAGTTTCCTTAACAGTAAAAGGAAAATAATATTAATTCTTAACAACAATAATCAATGTGGGGTTGTTCATGAGTTAATATTTGTCAAGCACTTACAGCAGCACATATAATATATAAGAAATTATTTGTACATATTTATCAAACAAGTACTTAAAATATGAAACCATTATCCACAATTAAGGCTGACAAGCAATCTGAGTGGTTTCCTTTCTTCCAGGAAAGAAGCAGGTTATATTTTAAATAATCTGCAGACTGAACTGGGCTATGAAGGAAAAATTGCTTTGGAGGACTTTAAGACTAGCAAATCCGTGGTACAAATTCCTTATTGCTAATGCACTGATTATTTATCAGTTTCCTCAAACAATGATGCTACCATCTAATGAAGAGTTTACAATCCACAAAGCAATGTACACATATTATTGTGAATTGTAATCCATATGATAAACCACCACACCCCCAGGCACCCAGGAGAATCTACCTGAACCTTGTGCTCTGGTTAATAACATGAGAACAGCAGAAGTTTTATACAATAAACACAAACAAGTGCCTGTGACGGGTTGAACTGTGTCCTCCCTCCAAATTCATGTTAAAGTCCTAACCCCAGTTCCTCAGAATGGGACCTTATTTAGAAATAAGGTTTTGCAGGTGTAATTAGTTAAGTAAACATGAGGTCAGGTACTGGAGTAGGGGCGATCCCTACTCCAATATGCCTGATATCCTTATGAAAATGAGCAATGTGGCGAGAGACGAGAACACCGAATGCCCTGTGAAAATGAAGGCAGAGATGTAGCGATGCTTCTATATGCCAAGGAACATCAACTATTACTAGCAAACCACTAGCAGGGGAGAGGCACGAAACAGACCTCGCTCACATCCCTGCAGACACCATGATCTTGAACTTCCAGGCTCTAGAACTGAGAGATGATCCATTTCCCTGTCCAAGCCACTCCGTGTGTGGTACTTTGTTAGAGCAACCCTAGAAAAAGATTACAGACACTGTTCATATTGTAGAGACTGTAACAAGGGTGTTTCCTTTCTTTACTTGACCCTTGATTCATTTATTGAGAGAGTAAATATTTACAGAAAGCCACTGTGTTAGGAACTGTGGTTACAGGGCTGAGCCAAAGACCATAGTTTCATAGGATTTTCAGTACAGAGGGAGAGATAGACATTAAACAAAGAGGTAAATATAGAGGGAGTCTAAGGGAGGCTGTGATGAGTGATTTGAAGAAAAGTCCATCAGGGGACTGAGGGTAAAAGGAGGTGCTGTTCTAGATGAGCAGTGAGGGAAGCTGATCTGAGGAGTTGGTATTTGAGCAAAAGATGAAGAAATCAAGTGCAAGCCGTGTGGCTCTCTAGGATCTAGGAGAAGAGAGTTCCAGGCAAATGGGAAAGCAAGAGCAGAGGCTGGCATGTACCTAGAGCAGTGTTCTGATTTTTGTTGTTGTTGTTTTTTGTTTTTTGTTTTTTTTGAAACAGGGTCTCACTCTTGTCCAGGTTTGAGTGGAGTGGCATGATCTCTGCTTACTTCAACCTCCGCTTTCTGGATTCCAGTGATTCTCGTGCCTCAGCTTCCCAAGTAGCTGGGATTACAGAGGTGAACCACTACACCCAGCTAATTTTTTTGTATTTTTAGTAGAGATGGGGTTTCGCCATGTTGGCCAGACTGGTCTTGAATTACTGGCCTCAAGTGATCCACCCACCTTGGCCTCCCAAAGTGTTGGGATTACAGGCATGAGTCATGGCACCCGGTCGCTAGAGTAGTGTTCTAAGGAAACCACGGCACACAGCAAAGTCTACCATTTTCTTTTCTTTTAATGTTGCAAGACCTTTTTCTTTTTGACCTAAACTTTTTGAGACTTTCAGTTTGCCTAAGGAGTTGTCTCCTTGGCCACATTAAAACAGGCTTAGCCGTTGCTATTACGTTGCCCCAGGATTGAGGCAAAGACAAGAGTGAAGCTGCCAGGTACTGCAAGGTGTAAACAACTGACCCCGGGTCAGCCCAGAGAAGGGGCAACAAAATCTGATTGACCACACAGAGGTATTCTCCACTCACATCTGGGGCCTGCTGATTGAAAAGCACTATGCTGGATGTCTGGCAGGTTTTGGCTAGCTAGTGCTTGAATCTCCTTCCCAGATATGCTGAGGCACCGTCTGTATGAGTCTTGCAGGAAAGGTCTCTTGTTCAGGCTCACTCCTTGGAGCTAGGGCATAGGGACAACACCTAGAATCAGCCAAATGAGAGCTCCCGCTGGAAGCGCAACTCAGGGAATGGCCATCTGGCTGGTTGGAGCTGGAGGCAGTGGAAATCCAGTCATTGTTCAGGAAAGGGAAGGGGTCTGTGACACACAGTGGTGCTTCAAGTGACAGCAAATTCAGTGGCAGTATCCAGTGGTCAGTGGCTAGTGGCTATGTCAGGAGGACCCTAACTCCTCATCCCACAACCTGATTTCACTGGTGTCCTAGTATATGAGATCCTCCCATTTTCCAAACCTAGTTTTTCAACATTCCCATCAATTCCAGTAGCTGCTCTATATCCTCTCAGTAAATTCTTCTTCTACTAAGTCAGCCAGAATCAATTACTCCGGATTGCAATGAAGAGCCCTGCTTGGTTTCAGTACAGTTTCTGAGTTTTCAGGTTTTCGTTTCCTGGTTCTAAGGGATTATTTGTTCATTTTTGATCACTATTTTATAGATCTTGAATATTAGAAACTGAAAAAGTAAGTTACTACAAAAGTGCCACAAGGATAATTTGGTTATATGAGGGAAAACAGCGAACATATCTCCAAACCTTTGATGAGACTAACTGTGCCCTGAATACTAAATAGCACACCTGTTCTGCAGCTACTTTACACAGCACAATGGTGACATCCAGTGTCAGCTGGCTAAATCTCAGGTGACTGTGCAGTTTACCTGAAAATGACACACAGTATACGAAAGACATG